ACGGGGGCCGCACTGAGCAGGGGAGGCCTGAACCGGGCAGGAGGAAAACCACATGAGGGCTTAGGAAAGGTGTGGATGCGGACTCAATGATGTTCCCCCCAAAAAGGTAACTGATATCCTAACCTCCCCCGGACCTACGGATGTGACCTTATCGGGAAATAGAGTAGCAGGGTCTCTACAGATATGAGTAGTTTAGATGAGTTTGCATTGAATTAGGGTGACACTAAATGCAGTGATTGGTATATTCTTGTGCAGGGAGCAGAGGCAGAGGTTACGGTGAGGCAGCTCAACACGATCAAGGGGCCAAAGATCGCAGCTACCACCAGAGGCTGGGAGAGAGAAATGGAACCGATCCTCAGAGCTTCCAGAAGAGACGGGCCTCCCCAGCAGCTTGATTTTGGACTTCTTGCCTCCTGAACTATGAGAGAATAAATTTCTCCAGTTTTGAGTCATTCATTTTTGTGATCACTTGCTATAATAACACTAAAAATCTAATACAGGCCCTCCCTGGTGGCGCAGCGGGTTAAAGCACAGCACTGAGAAGCTAAAGCCACTTCCGCATGAGTTCGATTCCCGCCTGCCCCTGCCCCGGAGGTGACCACATGGTGTGGCAGACCTCTCCTGACCCACCCGCTGCTCCCCTCAGCAGTGTACTTCGTCGATCTGCCGGTTCTGCTCCCCACTCTGTCTCTGGTGAAGCCTCTCACCGCCCCCTGAGCCTCTGGCCTGTACCCCAGTTCTGTATGCACAAATGAATAAATCTTTAAAAAAAAAAAAATCTAATACAGTGTTCGAGGCAGTCAGAGACAGCAAGTGCAAAGGCCCTGGGGTAGAGAATCTCTAGCACATTTGAGGACAGGTCAGCTGACTGGTGTGGCAGAAGCAGAGTGGGTGAGGGGAGCAGAAGATGAGAAGTGATATCAGAGATGTCAGAAAGGCTTAGAGGCCAGGACATCAGAGATGTCAGAAGGTTTTTTTTTGCGGGGGGGCACTCTCACAGCAGAATGAGCTGTGGGTGTGTGTGGTTGTTCCCCATGATCTTTGTCTCCTGTTGTCATGCCTTTGAATATGTAACATTAAATGGCAAAAGGAAATTGTGATTGCTAATCAACTGACTTTAAAATAGGAAATCTGTCATGGATGATAAGGGTGTATGGAGTGTTAACACAGAGGCTCCTAAAAGTGTAAGAAGACAGATGAGTCAGTGAGAGAGATTCAGCCAGAGAGGAGAGATTCACAATCTCCCCAGAGCCTCCAGGACCTCAGCCCAGCACACCTTGACTTTAGCCTGACGAGACCCACATGGGAGGTTTGATCAAAGAACAGTAGGATAATACATGTGTATGGTTTTAAGCTGTGAAATCTGTGATGAATTTTTTATCACAGCCATAGAAAATGAAGATAGTGGATAAATACAGCAGAGAGGAAGCGATCCAGGAGAGGGTTCACCACCACGACGGGGCCCCCAGCCTTCCAGACACCTTCCTGCCAGCCCTGCTTGCCTTACCTGTCCTCCAGGTCCCTCCTTGCCCAGGTACTGACCACTGCAGTTTAGGGTGTCCCCCATCTTAGGAAGTCCAGCCTCTTGGTCCTCAGGTCAGACTAAGGAGCAAGCTCAGTGGAGATCCCTCCCATTCTAAGAAATGCTGTGACCTTTCCTCTCCCTCCTGTGGAGTGGGTGAGGATGGTCCTGGCAGAGTAAATAAGCCAGCCACAGCCACTGTGGTGGCACTACTGGACCTGTTATTCATGCCGCCCCTGAGGCTCGGACTGGGCTCTGACTCCTCCCCAGAGAGAATCTGCACACACAGATACAAACACTCATGCGTGAATCCTGGGCTCTGTCTGTGGCTCCTTGCCACAGTCTCCTGTCCACCCAAGGCTCCATGGAATGAGAGCCAACCCACTGATGGCTAATGGGTCTTGAGCACCAACTCAGAACAGGCACCAAACTCAAGTGTTCTCCTCACATGCTCTGATTTAAGTCTCTCTGCAATCCAAGCAAGTGGAGACAAGTGACTCAGAGAGGTCAGGACACTTGCCAGTTGTCACACAGCTGCGAGTGGTAAATCCTGAACTGGAACCCTGGATTGCCTGAGTCTAAGACTCAGACCAGATCCTTATCGTTCAAGATGTAGCTTACGGTACAGCAGGAGTGGCCTCACCTGAGGCCAGGTGAGAGACACCCTAAATCTGCTCAGGTGATTTGCATACCCACTGCAATTTGAGAAGCCCTGCTGGAAAGCAGTGTTTTCCAAGATCTGCTCACCCCAGGGTCTCATAACCACCCTGGCCCCAGTCTCTGGAGGTCCATCCCCCGCACCCTGGATGGCCTTGCGCTTCAAGAGGGGCAGGCTCTGCTGGACTTTAGGGAAGGGACGGGGAGCTGGGGCCTAGAGTCAGCCAGCCTGGCCGCAGCTGAGCAGCCCCTATCGAGGCCTGGCTCTCTCCAGAGGTACTGCCCCTGACCGAGGCTCTTCAGCCTCTTTCTTGCCTTCCTTCTGGGACACAAGTCTCCTGGCTGCTGTCTAGTGCTCTCCTAAAGGGGCCTCCGACCATGACCAACCCCTGCAGGGTCTCCCTTCACGAGATATTCTGTACCCCCTCCTGCTCCTGGAATGCCCCTGCGTTCATGTCACTCCTTCTATCTGGACACTCAAGGTCTGTCCAAGCTGCTATCAGGAGAGAGGCCAACAGCAGCTTGGGAAACCTGGCCAAGCTCACAGGAAATGTCTGACACCAGCGGGCAAGTGGGACTTGGCCTCCCAAAGCAAAACACAGCTGGGCCGACCGCACGGACACTCGGACTTTCCCAGATTTCATGACATTGAGGCTCCAGGGCAGAGAGACTGGGATGGCCTGGAAACTGCAGCTCATTAAAAATATCACAGTAGCCCCTGACCAGGGAGCCAGTGATGCTGATAGAGCACGGCCCTGCCATGGGCTGCAGACCTCACTGACCCTGGGCCCTCTTGCCCCTGGTGTGTCTTCCTTCTCTGCAAGCGTCCTCCCCTTCCCAGCCTGCAGCCTCATTCATCTAGTCATGCCACTCATGTTGCTCGAGCCCCTGCAATGAGCCAGGTGCACTATTCGGTACCAGGGACATATTCATGAACAAGCAGGTGGCCTCCCTGTGCTCAGCCAGCCCAATGCAGAGTGACATGTGGAAGCGCATTGGGGAGGCGAGAGCCTCACCTCCTCCCAATCTGAGCAGTCCTTGCTCCAGGTACAGGTTGAGGGTCAATGCCATGAGGGCCCTTGGACAGACTAGCTTCAATGTGGCTGGAGTGACAGAGAGCAAAGGTGGACTCTCTGTGAGCCGAGGCGGTGGGCAGGAGCGTGGGGACATGCAGAGCGCGAGATGGAGTTTCTGCCTTCCAGGGTCACAGTCTAACTGCAGGCAAAGGTCATAGACCGCAGGGCTTCAGATAGCCCGCGGGAAGTGATCAGAGGAGACTGGGGGGAAATGGAGCTGGGTCTTGAAAAACGGGAGCTGGGGAGATGGAACAGGACAGGTCAAATAACTCTGGCTCAAGGATACAGGAGCAGAGTGACCTGCCAAGCAACCACTCCTAACACCCGCGGCAATGTCCTTGAGCACACATGCAAGCACACACACATCACACTCGCATGCACACAGGATCTGTGCATTGTAAAGAGACTAAATCCTACGAGAACTTTGCGGGGGAAAGTCTGGCTGGAAGGAATCTGCTTCTAGTCTGCCCTGGCGGGCTTGCAGCCGGCACATCCAAGGCTCTTGCAGGTGTCTTTGCACCAGGTCCACCTATGTGGAGCCCACAGCTGGGCTTGGGCCCCGCCCACCTGCTCACAGCCATCCTCCCTGTCCCCTGCATTGTCCACCTGGCTGTGTAACTGCCCCTCTCTCTGCCCAGCACGCATGGGCCTTGGCTTCAGGGTTTGGCTCTTCTGGCTTTGAACTTGGAGTTCCCTAAGCCTTGCCCTGAATTCATCTCTCCAATCTTTCTGCTCCTGGCCATCCTTGGAACCCAGATGCCTGGGTGGTCAGGCCCTGGAAAAGTCCTCTATCAAGAGCCTGGTCTGCCTGGCACACATCTCATCCCATGCCCAATGGCATAATTGCTCGACAAGTGCTAGTTTTTTCATCTCTGTCCTGAACTTTTTAGAGAGATCGGACCTCAAGGCCAGTCTCCTCTCCCTGGTTCTTTCTGGCCTCTGGGAGAGTAAATCCTTTTTCCCCTTAGTTCAGCATGACAAAATTACATTTCAGAAAGAATTTTCTAAATAGGGAGCAAATGGAAAAACTAACCTGAAAAACCAAAAGAAAAACAGTCCCCTAGAAATGCACCCATTTACAAAGTTCAGACTTCCTGTCCTGAGCTGGAAAAAGTCTGGCCAGGTTGTCAAACAAGCAGGCCAGGAATCCTGCCAGTGAACCCGCCGCTTGCCCACTTATTATTCTGTTCCCTTTCGCCTTCTGCTCTTTCTCTTCCCTCCAGGGGGGAAGGTTCCCACTGGATAGAGCGTGGACAGAGGGGCTTTCCTGGCAGGGGTCCTTCTTGCAACACAGAGACCTTGTGCAGAGAGAGAGGAGCCCGCCAGGCGCCAGGCATGTTCTCAGTGCTTTCTTCTATTCACTAACCCAGTCCTGACCATAGGGACGCATCACATTCCCCACCTTACTGAGGAGGAATCAGAGGGGTAAGTACCCTGCCTCGGACTACCCACCTCGGATGTGGCAACACCCGGGATACACCCTCCTGGCTTTCTCTGAGGACCTGTAGGGGAAAGTCATCAGCTCCCACCTCCCCTGTCCACCCAAGTCCGCAGGGCCTGCACCAGCCCCGTACCTGATCTCCTGCTCATACCAGTGGCAGGGCCAGGGGCAGAGGCAAGGGAAAGGCAGGAAGAACTCTGCCCAGGTCTTTACCATCTGCTTCGAAGGGAAAAGCCCCCTACTCCTCCCACCCCCCCCAACACGGGGTCTTGGACACAAGGGCCCACTGCAGAGGGGGACTTACCTGGGCCTCTGTGGTGCCAGCGGCTGTGTTCTGGCCCCACCTCTCTCCCTGGCTGTGCTGGTCCTGTGCAGGTTGGGTGGGCCCTCGGCTGAGTGTCGGGGTGCTGGTCTGGAGTTCTGGGGGTCAAATTCCTCCTCAGGAATGACCTCCTCACAGCGGGCTCCACGGAAGCCCGAGCGGCACACGCAGAGCTGGGGCCGGCTGCAGGAGCCCCTGTTCTGGCAGGGCGGCTGGCACACAGCTGGGGAGACAGCAGGGCGTGAGTGCAGGTGCCTGTCGGCAGGGCCCTGTCACCTTGGGCCCTGTGCCCCACCCCCGCCCTCTCCCCGGCCCCCCCAGCCCCTGGTTATTTGCAGGCCTCGGGGTGTAGGTGCACCTGTCACCTCAGACAAAGGTGAGAGACTGAGCCACCGGAGGTGTGATGTGGCTCAGCCTGGCCACAGGCACCTCGTGTTGTACTAGACAAAGGCCTTGGCTTTGCTGTCCGCCTCTCCTACCAGACTGGACTCCCATGAGGAGGGTGTTCTGCTTCCTTCCCTCCTGTAGCCCCAGGATTTGGGCAGAGACCATCACAGGGTAGATTCTTAATAAATATTGGATGCATTGATATCTTTTACAAGAAAGGGCTCACTCCACCTTGCCATGGACGTTGCAGGGTCTGCGTCTCTGGGGGTTTTCTGTCTTTCCCAAGCTGTGTGATCTTGACCTCACTGAGCTGCAGTTTCCTTGTGAGTCACATGCATGGTAGGCGGGGGGGGGGGGGGAGGAAACCTTGAAAATTCAGTTGTTCGAGTTTC